CACAGAGGTGGCAACAGACAGGAAGGAAGCTTCTCTGACCTACCTCAAGCACACCTACATTCCATCGTAGAAATCTGTGTCTCTCCCAGCTGTATCACTGGAGGTGTGCTGGCCACCTTCATACTGTCAGCTCCCATACCTCTTTCCTGAGGGATCTGAACTCAAATCCCTCTGAGCTCAAGCTGCCTGAACAGGAAAGGATGAAAGGAAAGACAACTAACTCTTCATTCTTATTCCCCTGCTGCTCTCCACCAGTGATGGGAAGGGGTATGTATATAACTTTGGTAGCTTTCTCATTCTGTGATGGGGATAACTCGGAGGCCCATCTCCTGCACTGGCTACCAGAGTTTCCCAGCTGGAATCAACCCAAATTATTAAAAGAGGAAATTTGCTGCTCACTCACACATTTGGGATTCCTTTGCATTCCCTGCCTCATTTCCCCATTCCTCTACTGTTCTTTTGCCTCCAAAATAAGCTTACATTCATTTCTTTGTCTCTAGGTCAGTTCCTAGGGGAATTCAAACTAAGCCCACAAAGAAAGAGCATGGACAGTTCTACTGCAAGACTGGTGGACCAAGCTGGAGCCAGAAACTCAATTCAGATCCCCAACCAGGGGTGGTAGGAACCAACTTCTTGAATCATCACTCCTGTCTCTCAGAGTATGCATTTTACAGGAAACTGGAATCAGAAGCCACAGACACGCGCATCTACTTGATAAAGCTAACTACAGTACTTTCTAGTAGTCCTTGAAACACATAATTTTGCTCTAATAAAACGATCTTTTGTGTGCTTGAAACAAAAAACACCCTCAATAAAGACAATATCAAACACGTCCCCTGAATTCCTAAAGGCACCGGAACACCCACTTTCAGATACAACACACTTTCAGATACAACCACCCCACAATTCTCACACGGCCAAATAAACAAGAAAATCGACATGCTCTAATGCACACACTGACCCCCAAACCGTGCACACGCCCTTATCGGTGTGCAGTGAGTGGCACTGACCTAACAGGTGAGCAGCACAGAAGTCACAAACCATACAATGTACAACCTCCTTTATTGTTAATTTCATGCACACAAGGTGTAGGCAAGGCATCCGTGATTTGACACCGGACTGGGAACTACAGTTACTATTCAACTGAGGCAGGCTGTTCACATCACTGACACCTCTCCGTACTGAACCTGAGTGCTCCACTTCTCCTCAGCTGCACCACGTGCACAGGTCACACAGGACGCACCTGAGGACAGCACGCACTGGCAGCAGCCCGCACTACCTGCTGGACTGCATCAGGGTCTTCCGTCCCGAGGAAGCGTCCCCAGCCTCAGCCTTGCTCAGAGTGCTAGCGACACCGGCGGGACACACTCAGGGTCCTCTGCGGTATTAAAGGCCCCTCACGTCAGGTTCAGGCACCGTCAGAACACGGGGAGCGCCCAGCCAGGACCGGCACCAAATTCTGCGGTATAGCCGCTTGCTCGCTCTGCAGCCAGCTGGCCACTCGGGCCGCTGGGCCGCACAGACCAAGGGTGAGCCCACCGCACAGCGGGAACGATCACAAAGTGCAATAACCGCTCGGCAAGACTGGGGCTGGGGGGTCCATTACCTTCTAAGTAACGGACTCTCGGGACGCCGCCATGGCCGCGATTCCGTGGGCATGCGCTCTCCTCGCGCCTGCGCATCACCTGGGTTGGACGCCCGCAACGGATGCTGGGAGACGTTGGAGGCAACTGGAGCACGCCGGGAACCCGGCGCGCCCAGAGAGGGCGTGCGCATGCGTGCGGAGCGCGCGCCAGAGGTAGGCATGCAGGGAGGCAGTATGAGGTCTAGAAAGATTTTTGAGGTTTTTCCGCGATGAGACGAGTCCTGGAATCTTTGTGGCCGTCCCTCCATTAACCTAGCGCGTCTGAAACGACCCCTGATGGTTTGGAAGAGGGCAGACGTCCACGCAGGCACGCGCACCCCAGGGAAGGGCTCTTCCCAGGGCTGCACCCTAGAGCGAGTCCCCTGCATTGGGGTCAGCGCTTGCAGCCTCTCCGGACTGCAGGTCTCTGAGACTTGGCCGCGCCTCCCACAGACGCTGCCTCCTCTCTTCCCAGGCCTCCTGGGTTCCATGGAAGAGCAGTCTGGCCAAGAATATTGGACCTGGAAGCACTGAGGGACTCCGGTTCCTAGCTCCGTTCTTAGAGTTTGTCCTCTGGTATTTACTGCACTTGGGGAATTTATAGAATACAGGGAATTTTAAATAAACAGCGATTCGCAAATGCTTTCGTTGAAAATTTCTTACCATCCTAAGACGTGACAATCTGAACCACATAAAGTAAAAAATACCATGTAGTATAGGCGTAATTTTACAACAAAGAAACACTCATTCCTTAAGTTCCTGAGTACAAAACGTGGCCTCATCAACCCTGCAATATGAAGTTATTGTTTGAACCCCATGTAAGGGTGCCCACGATAAAAATACAAGTCTTTGAGAAGGCTCTTAAGCTTGTTTATTTTTTAAGTCACACCCCTAGGGTTTTTGTTTGTTTTGCCAGTCACCAATACCTTGCTTGAATTGCTCCCACATTATCTTCTGAACATTGGTAGACCTCTTTCCACTGCTTGCGTGGAGAATAAAAACATTGTTGAGTGTAAATGGGTGGTCATGCTACAGAGGACTGAGGCTGCTAGCCCCTGGGTTATTCTCCAGGTGACTTCAATTCCAGGGCTAGGCCAAGCGGGAGCTAGGTGCATGGAACTTCAGTTCTTTTCAGGTCGCACCTGGATTCATGAACCCAACAACCTGAGGCATCATCTGTGGTCTCCCAGGGTGCACATCAGCAGAATGCTGGAAGGCCCAATTACTCCAGTACAGGAAGGGACATCTAAACTGCTAGACTCAACACCATCTGGAGTACCTGCAATATTTATGAGTTAAAGACCCACTTTTTCTAGATACCTATCCTACAAACCAAAGAAAGTAACCACAAGTAACACAAATTCATTCAGTCCTTGATGGACAGAGGCGTTCCAACAGAGGACATCAGAAGTCAGATTTTCCTTGGAAATGCCTTTTCAGCAGTGGACAGGACTTGGGGATGCAGACTGCTTCCCTCAGGATGAAGTGCACACACTGCAACTATCTCTGATCCGCTGGTACCTCGTTTTCAGACACTTGGTCCCCTCTTCTCCCTGAGCAAGCCTGTGCTGATCACATCTTGTGTTCTGAAATTTGATGAGAAAGTGCCTCCCTGAGTGTAGCTAGGAGCCTACCTTCCTCCACAGGTGGGAAGCAGGGTGGCCTAGGAACCAAGAGTAGGTATATCGATATGGAACGGAAGTTAAGGAGGAACCAAGTACAGTCGGTGTGCGGAATCAGAGACTACTTTAACACTGCCTGAGGAGCTCACATCAGCTGTTTTGCCACAGTTCAACTTCAAGAGAACTTGAGATTCTGCCCCACTGCAAGAGCCTCAGAATGTCTCCCCACCCCCACCCAGGCTGCTCTCCCGCCACCCCTCCCCCACCAGAGAAGCCTGAGCCCCACATTCCATTCCTGTTACCTTTAAACTTGCCCCAGCTGCTGCAGTTGGACCCTGAGCGGCCAGCTCACTGCTGGGACCTGAACTTGCTTCTCTCATTGAGGAGGCTGTGCTGAGTGTCCAAGCCTGCGGGGAGAGCTTCAGGAGGTGGTAAGTCTGTAGGGGTGGGGCTGTTTAACCAGATTCCCTGCTACTACTCGGATACTTGGGAACTCACATGTGACGCATCCCCTGGGGACAGCTGACTGGACTGAAGTAGAAGAAAGAGACAGCCCTGGGTGTCCACAAGGACATCGTACCTGGGGAAGCTGTGGAAGCCCACATTGAACAGACGCTGCTGACTGGGGAGACTAGTGGCCACGTACAGGTGGATCAAGATGCCCCACAGGAAGTGTACTGATGAGTAGAAGAGACGGGAGCAAATGGATTCATTCTCTGTAAACCAGGAGAGGGACACAGGTCACTTCAGTCTGAGGGGTGTAGTGCGAGGATGGGCGGGGATGAGGTGGAGGCAGAGAGAGGGTTCAGGGTACAGCTGAGCCTACCCCTTCAGTCACAGGGAGCCTGCCCTTGAAAGGGCTCACAGGGTTTAGACAGGGGTATCCTAGGTGTTAGGATGCTGTGATGAAATGGGCTTAGCCATGAAAATGATCACTTGGGCTCCTTCCCCTTTACCCACTCTTCCTTGAGTGAGGCTGGAAATTACCCCAACCTCCACCGCCCAGATCCTCCCAGCTCTCTGCTTCCTGCCAGCAGTGGTTTCTTTCATTATGGGAAAGTTGTTTTTTCTGGATTCTGCAAGGACAGGAATGGCAATTAACATCAGGCAACAGAGGGCTTGGGTTTCCCTAAGTGGTGTGCATGGTTCCTCTTGTAGTGGAAACACAAGTCTTTCACCCAAGTCACCCTACACCTCATGGTGGGCCCCTGCCCAGGACTTTCCATAAAGACGATGGCAGTGCACGGACTCCACGTCTGTACTTCACAGGCAGGTTCAGCTGGGCAGAGTGGCTGGATTTCCACAGGAAGTTTCAGTGAATGCTGTTTTCCACCTTTATTTGCATAAAGCTTATTTATTTGAGTAGCAGAGTGACACAGGAGGGGAGAAAGTGAGGGCTTGACAAGCAATGGAAGAGGGAGAGGGAGAAGAGAGAAAGAGAGAGGAGAAGGGAGAGACAGAGAGGGAGGGAGGGAGGGGGGAGGGAGAGAGAGAGAGCCTCAGAGATTACAAGGTTATGCTCATGAATCACAAGGCCATGGTAGGGAGAGATTTCTTCCCAGACCTTTGACCTTCTTGTGCTAGGGTTTAAGGGAAGGGTTCCACTAAGAAGTGTCAGCTAAAGAAGCCTAAGGTGGGGTCTGTGTTCAGAGTTGTGAATCAGCTGGCTTTACCTAGGTCGGGTGGGCACGTGGCACCACAGCTGTGTAAGTCCCCTGGCTTGCTGTGGAGTACTGAGGGGCCCAGTGCCACTAGGGAGGCAAAGCTGATCCAGGTGTTGGGAGACACCTATAGAACTGGAGTCACCCTGTGTGACTCTAGGGGCAGTGAGAACTCATTGTTCCATCCTGGCAATGAAGGGTATTTGAGAATTGCTATTCGAGAAGGGTATTGAGAATTGGTTCTCCTATTCCATTCACCCTTCTCCTTTGTCTCCACAGCATCTCCAGGGCTGAGAACAGCCATGATCCCGCACCCAGGCACCTCCCCGTCTCTCGTCATGCTGCTGCCCTTTCCCCAACCAACTCACGGCCCTGCACCCCAGCCACCCTGGGGGCAGCCCCCTCCGCCCCTCCTGAATGTGGCATTCCCTCCAGGCAGCCGCCTCGTACTGCCTGCTGCCATCCCCAGTATGCCTGTGGTGGCTGGAGATGGTGGCTGCGGCCCCAATGGGGCTGGGAATGTCCACCTATTACTCCAATTGAGGACAGGAGGGCAGCCAGTGGAGCCTCTCCACTCTCAGACCTTGGTCTACAACCAAACCCGTATCAGCCTGAATGCCCCAGGTGGCCTCTGTGGGGCAGGGCAGAACCCTGCTCCCATAGCAGTGCCTGGGTCTTCCCTACAGGCAACAGTGCCTGCACCTACCATGGCGGGAACCCAGGCCAGTCAGGGGGGCTGGCCTCTGGGCCTCCCTCCTCCAGCTCCACCACCAGCTGCCCAGCTGGCCCCGATGGTCTTCCCAGTAAACAACAGGCCACCATCACAAGGGGCAGACAGGGAGCGCATCCTGCCTACTCCCAAGGCCCAAGCCTCACCAGACGACCCCTGCAGCTCCACCAGCGTCTACGAGAACTTCCGGCGCTGGCAGCACTTCAAGGCCCTGGCCCGGAGGCTCCTGCCCCAGAGCCCTGACACAGAAGCTCTGTCCTGCTTCCTCATGTGAGCACCCATGCCCAGGGCCTGGGGCAGTGCATTGGGAGGATCACGGGCTGGGCAACGCAGGCTATAAGGGCTCCCAGAGGAGACCCTGAAGGCAATCGAGAGACCACATGCAGTTCCATTGTCAGCCATGCTACCTCATGCTGCGTGTGACACGATTCCAGGGCCTTTCCCCACTGGATCTTAGCTATCCTGTGATAACATTTACATTTCCACCATTTCCAGGGTAACCCTTACAGAACACTCAAGGTCAGAGCGGGTCCTGGGATCACAAGAGCCACCACTGGGGTTTGAGTCTGAGTCCACACAGCAATCCCTGTCCACCACTGGCATGTATGCAGAGGGTCACAGAACTCAGGGACTTGACATGAGGGGCGATAAGGAGGGAAGTCTTATACACAGCCCAACCCTCACTCTTCCCGGGACTTCCAGGGAGACAGCAGGTGGTGGGAACCCACCCAGGGCCACGCTGGGGCCCCAACACGAGGGTCTTTCTTGGGCCAGCACTGACATCGCAGCCCAGAGCCCTCATAGGGGAGGAGACGCTCGCACCCGTTCCCAGGGAGCTGAAGGTCACTGCAGCTGAACCTGCTGAGCTTGGCATAGACAGGCACACGCTCTGTCTCAGGAAACGACTGCGGTCATGCTGTCATGAGGAAAAGGCAATGAGGTGAAGAACACAGCCACAGCCCGAACTCCACGGTCCAGGCTGTGACCGGACTCTGAGCCCCTAAGGCAAGAACGCAGGCCGCTGTCCGGGGCTGCTGGAGACCAAACCAGAGGGAGCCTTCCCCGCAGTGGCACACTCCCCTTTCTTGACCACTCGGGCCCGGCTCCTCCTGTCTACACCATCACGACAGACACAGCCACTTTCCACTGAGCAGGGCACTGCGTCCATGTCGCGCCCACCTGTGACCTCCTGCCCAATCGTCACTCAGCCTGCAGCTGAAAGCAGTCTCCACGCCTTGGTGTTGACGTCTCCGTCTCCCTGCAGCTATGGACACTCAGCATTGCCCAGGAGGCACATCACCCCCAACTCAGTCCCCATGCACTGAGCTTGGTCCCCTAATCAGGGCACAGCCTGCATGGCTCCCTTCCTTCTCCCCACTCCCAGGAGCTCTGAGGTCCCAACTCCAGTGCGGCCTCTGGCCAGCAACTATAAAGCAGGTTACACACTCAGCCCTGGGGCCAGGAACCCACACCAGAGCCCTGGCACCCAGGTCAGATCATTCTGTGTGCTTCTCCCTTTGGGCTGCACTGCACAAGGCCACACACTGGACAGTTTCAGCCACAGATGTTCATGTGACACGTCTGGAGGCTGGAAGACTGAGCATAGCACATGGCTGGATTCAGATTTCGGTGAGGCTGCTCTTCCTGAGACAGGACCTTCCCACTGTCTTCATTTGAGAGTCAAGCTGTGGCGAGTCTTGCTTCTCCTCTAAGGACACCAGTACTATCACGGGAGCTGCAGCCTTAGGACCTCTCCTAACCCTAACTGCATCACAGACACCACCTCAGACCCCATCACACTGAGGATTAGCACTTGCACACATGTATGTACAGGATACAAGCATCCAATTCATGCTGCACTGTGATACTGAAGCTGCAAAAGAAGACAGAGGGCCAGCACAGCCCTGGAAGTGGGTATCCCCCAGATGAAAGGTGGCTAGGAGGCTGGAGAGCCCACACTGGAGGAGGACACGACAGGGACAGAGGGAAGGGAAGACCATAGCACAGTAGTCAGACCCCTGAGCTCAGGGGGCAGGGTGGGCTTGTGCATTTTCACTGACTCCAGGGACTTAATTCCAGCCCCGTGCTGCGGACCCTGGCCCAGCGGAGGCCCACCATGCCGCTGGAGGAGGGCCTGCGGTTTGCCTTGCGCGAATGGCAGCACAAGAGCAACTTCGACCGCATGATCTTCTACGAGATGGCAGAAAAGTGAGTTGGGAGTCCGAGTCCCGGTGCTGTGTGGTGGAGGAGGCTGGGGAGGGAGGCTGGGCCTGAGGGGCTGGACGTGTGAGCACATGTACGCCGTTCCTTGGAACAGGCCCTCCGTGGGCCCTGCTCTCACAGGATACTGCCCCACCACCTGGATGTAGGGTTCTAGGCACTCTCCTCCCCGGGAGTCCTCCCCATCTGTGTCTGAGCTACCCAGGCTCTGACGTTCAAGGTTGAGGTGGAGCAGCCAGGGCAGCCCTTGTGGTTCCTCCCACCACGAGGACTCTGCACACAGCAAGACCTCCATCGGAGCTTCTGCCTCACACCCTGGAGAGGGGGCTGTGGACAGATGTGTTGTCACGGTGAAACGCCATCCCAGAATGTGCTGCAACCCAGAGTGTGTCCTCAGGGATCTGGTATCTCAGACACACGGCCCTGTCTGCATTTCTGCCGGTTCATGCAGTATGATAAGTTTAAACACACAGCACTCAGAGGCCATGCCCACCTCTCAGCCAGGCCTCCCATCCTCCTGCCTGCCCCTGGACCCTAATCCCTGCTCCCCCTACAAGGGTCACAGTCTCGGGCTCAGGATCTTTGATTCTGAACTAGGACCCAAAAGCGCTTGTGAGAAATGTCCTTTTGCGCAGCCTCTGGAGTCAGCCCTACTTGGGGCTCTGTGTGGGGCCAGACCAGGCATGGAAGTGGTGAGATCTGCTGTGCCTTTGTTAACAGGGCCAGCAGGGGATCAGAGACACACGTCACCTGCCCGAGCAGGGCAGACAGAGCACTGTTCCCAGCATGCTTTACCCCTGTGGGACTGACCAGACTTGGACCTCCCTGACCCCAAGGGACATGTGCATGTGTCTGCCACCAGCTGCCGCCAGAATGTTGTCAGGGCGTGGGCCCCTCACATTTGACCTGTGTCCCCCACGCTCAGGTTCATGGAGTTTGAGGAAGAGGAGGAGATGCAGATGCAGAAGCTGGAGTGGATGAAGGGGAAACCTTGCCAGCCCACACTGGTCTCACCAGCACTGCTTCCTCAAGGGCCCCCAGCCCCTGTGGCTGTCCAGCAGCCAGGTACAGTCTCCCGTGTCCCAGCACAGTCCGTGGCAGAGGCCAACGCAACCCCAGGATTTGCTGTCCCCTCGTCTGGGCCTTTCCTTCAAGAGCAACATGTGTTCCTTTGTGCAGAATGTCCACGGGCAGCCCAGGGGCCCACATGCTTTGGGCCATTACCTGGGGATTTTTCATACCTCAGTCCTAGTGCCTCTCATCCCTTAGCTTCCCAAGGAGCCAGCAAACACTGGCCAGGATGGGATGTGGAGATAAGAACGAGGAGTGTTGGTGACAGATGTTCCACCTCTCGGCCCCATCTCCTCTCTCGGATGCTTTTGTCAGGTTTCCTGGCCCAGCATGACCACTCATGTACTCCAACAACTGTCTACCCCACAACGGCTGACATGACGCTGGAGCCCCTGCACTCACACCATGTTCCCATCCACAGGGTGTGCCGCCAGGAAGGCCAGCTCCAAGGCCCTGCCTGCCTGTCCAGTGCCACCCAGACACCAGGGGCCTCAGGACAAGACACCCAAGGAGATCCCACCAGAGGCCGTGAAGGAGTACATGGAAATCATGGACACGTTGCTGGGGCCAACACCCTTGTCCTTGGAGCCTCCCGATGGCCACCCAGAAGAGGACACAGATGAAGGTTTCCTGGAGAATGAGGGGTCATACCCGGACCCGGAAATGCTGTCCTACATTGACCATCTATGCTCCCAGGTGGATTTTGTCACCAAGGTGGGTTGGGATGCAGCACTGGGATGCAAGATCCAAAAAATGACCCTGCCAGGCCCTTAAGCCAAATGCAAGTTCTTCACCACTGCCTTTGTGTTCCTCAGTGAGGGAGGGAGGGAGGGAGTGAAGCTGACTGCCCACTGATGTACACCCCAGAGTGTGAACAGTGATGGGGCCGTCATTGCTCTCTGGTTCTGTTCAAGTTCCCATCATCTCAGGTGCTTCATGCAAGGATGATCATGGACATCTTGCATCTCTTCTAGGCGGAGGCCATCATTCACCCCAGATTCCTGGAAGAACTGCTTTCCCCAGATCCACAGCTGGATCTCACGGCCCTGTCCAAGGAGCTGGAGAAGGAGGAAGGGCTGACTGCTGGCCAGGTAAATACAGAAGGTGGTAAGCAGGTAGAGCAGGGACAGCATGTAGACGGGGTGGGAGGGGCACCAGGAAACCAGGGGTGGGGGCATCATGTAGACAGTCAGGGAGGGGCACCAGAAAACCAGGGGTGGGGGGCATCATGTAGACAGGGCAGAGAGAGGCACCAGGAAACCAGGGGTGGGGGGCAGCAGGTAGACAGGGCAGGGAGGGGCACTAGGAAACCAGGGGTGGGGGCTTCATGTAGACACAGCAGGGGGGCACCAGGAAATCAGGGAGGGGACAGCATGTAGACAGGGCAGGGAGGGGCACTAGGAAACCAGGGTGGGGGCTTCATATAGACAGGGCCTGGAGGGGCACCAGGAAACCAGGGGTGGGGGGACAGCAGGTAGACAGGGCAGGGAGGGGCACATAGGTAGACTCGTGGTAGAAGGGGGAACCCCAGCATGGCAGACCCAGATCATTTTGTCTCCCCCTACTCTGCTGGGGAAAAATGACTTCTTGAGGAGCTGCTTTGGGTGGGGTGCAGGTGCACACATGTGTTAAGGAGACAGAAGAGCCAGTTCCAGGTTAGGGTACAGGGCTAGAATGAGGCCCATGTGGGTGGAGGCAGAACCCCTCACACCAATGGTACCAGCCCAGAGACTCAGGCCTTTCTGCCTCCTCCCGAGTACCTGCTGTGCACTCCCTGGCCTCCCTTGCACCTGGCATAGCCACTAAGGACCTGTTTCCTCTGCAGGTGATGGCGAAGCACTGCTCCTTGAAAGAAGATGGGGCCATTGGGGCAACCCCCAGTCATGGTGTGCGCCTACTGCACCCCAGCAATTCTGAATCTGGACCCCAACAAAGTGCACAGAGTGACAACCAGGGCCCTCGCCTTGGGGCCAGAGCTGAGTGCTTCTCCGGGTCGATGTCTTCCCAAGACCTGCAGAGACATGTTGTCCCAGACACCCCCCTGTGCAGGCCTGAGGTTAATGCTGTCTTTAGTGGACATCGGGAGTGTCCCTCACTGGGGGCCACCAAAGATGCCAGGAGTTTCAGAGGAGGACCCTCTGTTGGGGGCCCGCACGCACCACTGGACAACTCCAGTGAGAACGAGGAGGAACTTCCCAGTCTCTCCTTCCTCCTGGCCTCCCAGCACCACCTGCTGCCCTTGGGCTTTGCACGGAGCGAGGCCTCTGCTGAAGACCTGCCCTGCCTTGGAGCTGGGAATCCTTGCAGAGCACCAAAACCCCTGTCTACCCATGGAAGGGACCCTAGGGGACCCCTCCCACATGCTGCAAAGTCCAGGAAGCAAGCTCTGCAGGGAGGCCAGGGCCCTGCAAAAAAGAAGCCCTGCCCAGTGCCTCAGCTCAGGGCTTCGGGAGGGCAGGCCCAGGCTCTGGGCTCTGTGGGAAACTCCCAGACTCAGAAGAGGAAATGTGACCACTTGGTCACCAGGAGGAGGAAGAAGCACCATTCAGCCCACTAGGTGGCGCCAGGGCTCTGGGAGCAGCTCCTCCAGGTGCAGCCTGAAGCACATGGACCCTAACTCTGCCCTGCACCCAAAGTGCTGACCCTGCTGTTCCTCACCACAAGAGGGCGACTCTAGGAGCCCCGGGTGGAGGGACCTGGGGCAAGAGTGTGGAATCATCCCTTTGGGACTTTGTTTGTGTAAATAAAGGAAGTTACATTGGAAATCGTCTCTGTTCTGCTGCCCTCTGTCCTGGCGTCAGTGGGGAGAGGACGGTGAGGCAAGACAGACGGGGATGCCTGCTCATGGCTGCACAGGGGCCTGACCGATGTCTCCCGACGGGTTTACACGCTTCCTTCCCTGGCTGCCCGTGCCCCGCACCATCACCGCCCACACGAGCCCTCATTTGCTCTGGGTCCTCCGGAGCCCCGCTGTCCTTTGTGTCCTATAAATGTCTTCCTGGGAGCTGCTTCTGAGCTGTCAGACGAGGGCCCCAGGAGCAGAGTTCGAGAACTGAGCCTGGAGTGGGCACCCTCCCGAGGGGGCTCCTTTCTGCTCCCCTGAAGTAGGCTCCTGGCAGGCCTGGTCCCTCCTCATTGTGGGTCTGGGGAAGTGGAAAGTGCTGGCTTTGGGAAAAGAGGCTGCGGCATCTCGGGAAATGGAGGCTGACAAACTGAGCAGCACTGATGGCCGCCAAAGCCAAGGGCTGTGCTTTCTCATTCACCAGGGGGGACTGCTCACAGGGGGACCTCAGCACTGCAGGAGGTCCTCGACGGCTCTGTGCCCTGGGCAGCACTGGGGGTGGCCCTCACTGGTCCTAACAGGCGGACCCATGCTGTCCCAGCGGCCTGGAAAAGGGCGGGCCAGCACGAGTCTGCTCATCAGTCGACCACAGGCACAGGTCTGGCAGACAAGAGAAGGGCTGGCTCCTGGGACACACGGGGGCAGCTGAGGCCCTGGGCAGCCCCTGCAGTTTCTGTGAAGGCATCCTGGGCTGGGAGGAAAGAACCTGGGCGGCCTCACAGGGGCTCTCAGGACCTGACTCCTACCCTAGACAGGCTCTGCAGTGTCCCCAGACCAGCTCGGCCCTGTGAAGGACCTCAAAAGCCACTAACTAAGCTCTGTTCCCTGACACCAGCACGGGTGCCTTGTGTGCAAGCCTCTCACTAACTTCAGACAAACATTCATGACTAAGGCTGCCCTGGGCTGGCTCTCATTCCCCCCATCTCAGTCTCCCGAAGGACGAATTCCACCTCTGATGCCAACACCCCTTCCTGCAGTGTCCAGAGATTCTCATTTTCTTCAATTACTGCTGCTTTGGTTGTGAAATCAAGAGAATGTAAGGGAACCACTGTGACGTAGCGGGTAAAGCTGCCACCTGCAGCACCAGAATCCCATATGGGTGCCAGTTCAAATCCCGGCTGCTCCACTTCCAATCCAGCTCTATACTGTGGCCTGGGAAAGCAGTGGAGGATGGCTCAAGTCCTTGGGCCACTGCACCCACATGGCAGACCCAGAAGAAGCTCCAGGCTCCTGGCTTTGGATCAGGCCAGCTCCAGTATTGTGGCCATTTGGGGAGTGATTCAGCAGATTGAAGACCTCTCTGTCTCTGCCTCTGCCTCTCTGTAACTCTGCCTTCAAATAAATAAATAAAATAAGAACTACAATAAAATAAAATAAAATAAAAGTAGCCTTGTAACCACTGCATCACATGCCTGAAACTGGCCTCTCTTCTCATATGGACAGCACTCATTGGATTTAGGGTCTACCCAAAAGGTGTTGTCATCCTGAGATTCTTAATGAAGTACATCTATAAAGTCCCCATTTCCAACTAAGGTCAAACTCAAAGGTTCCCGGGAAGAAAAAAAATTGGGGGATGTTAATCCACCCAACGCACCATCCTTTCAACAACCACATGAGGGAGGCTTCAGAATCCCCCATTACAGAGGACAACACCAGCTCAGAAGATAAAAAGACCAGGAGTAGCTAGTCACACAGCAGGCCCATGTGGCAGAACACTGTCGGTGGCTTTACGGTCCTAACAATTTCCTCTCTGCTCCATGCCATCAATGTATGGAACAGTTTAGCCCACAGAGGCCTGCTCAGGAGACTCGGCCACCTGGAGGATGCTGTAGTGACCGGAATGGCTGGGCCCAGGGCGTATCACTCACTTTCACCTTCTCACTTCCTGTCTCTGCTTTTACACCTCAGTTTTTACACCTAAACTGTACAGTTTTACAGCTCGGTTTTTATACCTATAAAATGGGACCCAGTCCTTATGTAAAAAAGGGAACTTATATCCAGAATATACAAAGAGCTACTACAAGAAAAAGTCAGTACGACCTTGTCTAAATATGATCAGAGTCAGTGAACTCAAAAGGCTTCCATAGCCTTGGCAACTCATGACTAGAGCCTAGGGTGATTAATGATGCCATAAATAAGAGTGTCAATTTGTTAAGTCAACAACAGGAGTCACTGTGCACTTACTCCTCATGTAGGATCTCTGTCCTTAATGTGATTTAATGCTATAACTACTACTCAAACAGTATTTTGCACTTTGTGTTTCTATGTGGGTGCAAACTATTGAAATCTTTACTTAATATATGCTAAACTGATCTTCTGTATATAAAGAGAATTGAAAATGAATCTTGATGTGAATGGAAGGGGAGAGGGAGCAGGAGAGGGGAGGGTTGTGGGTGGGAGGGAAGTTATGGGGGGGAGCCATTGTAATCCTTTGGAAATTTATATTCATTAAATAAAAGGGGGAAAAAAAGGAAAAAGTCAGGCAACCTAACAGAAAAACAACAGGTTAAAAAAAGTAGAACAGAAATTTCCCAGATCTCCAATGACAATACACATATGAGAATGCAGTTAGTCAGTCATCAGGAAAATGAAAATAAAAATCATAAACCACCACACTCGGCAAAATGATCAGAATGAGTGTTGGTGAGGATACAACCTCTCATGCAGGCTGTTTGCTAACCTGGGAGGAAGGTGACCACACCCCTTTCTATCCTGCAGTGCTAGTTGTGACTTTCTAGGAAATGTACCACGAAAGACAGTGTTCATCTCTGCTACGAAGAGTAATAAAAGATGTGCACAGCTCTGCTACTCAGATATCTCCAGGTGGAAACTACTCAAATACCTCCCCAGCATAGAACTGATAATAAAATTCAGTTCTCCTGGCAGCACACTGTATGAAAATGAGAATAAAAACACTTCAACTATGTGTTACAGCATGTATGGGTCTCATGTATACAACATTAAGACACAAAAGAGTGCTAGCTGTAATTCTGTTAATATAAACTAAGAATCTAGTCTAAGGTGCTTAAAAGTGAAGGTGGTAGTTGCCTTGACTATCAACGACAAGAACAAGGTATGAAGTGGGACTTCTGGGGGTGCTGGTAACACATTTTGGGAGTGTGGGGAGGATATCAAACTTTAGACTTATGAATTACATACTCTTGGGTAGTTATGTCACACTTCAATTAGGACATTTAAATCTGCCATGAAAATGGGTATTGATTTAGGCTCCCTCTTGCAGATGCCCTGACGTTGGGCTGGGCCAGGAAAGGGGTTACTCTCGGGGAGACTGATGAGGAATGGAGCCCAGGAGAACACACAAGCGTCCCCAGACAGGGCCTTACTCACAGGGCACATGGACTATTCTTTCGAGAAGTTCTCCTCACAAACCATCTCCATATACAGAGCATTTGTCTGAGTCAGTTCTCTGCCCATATAATAACTGACGGAACTGGTTCTCAATGAGACTCACCTGACCCTACTGGAGATTGGAGGGTGGTAAAAGACACATTGCAAACAAATACATAAAGCAGGAGGTCAGTAATGTGTGCTGTGGCTTAGTCAAGTCACCCTGACGTACTCTGCTCTGCATTCTCATGCTGCCTGACTACTCACCAATATCCCTCTCACAGGGTTTTTCTCAAAACATCTGAGCATCAAAAACTGCCTTGGTCTCCTATTATCCTTGAAGTTCCTCTCCATTTTCTCAAATATTTCCAACTTCTCATCTAATTCATTTCACTTCTCTGAACAACAGACCACACCTGTTCTATGCCACAGAGAGGCAAATCCCACCAACACATGGACTTAGCAACCATTCACCGACCTGCTCACCCTTTCATAAATCACCCTATTTCATACATTACTTTATTCCATTTCTTCATCTACCCTTCTACCCATATTTGCACTGCCAATCACTGACACACCTATTGTCATTCAGATCCCCATTCATTCACTAATGCATCCCATCTTTCAGTATTCTCTCCGTTACTCAGCCATCAATCTCCCCACCTATCAATACATCCAGCCTAACTACCCATCTATCCACTCACCCATCCTTTTATCCATGCATCTGCCCACCAAATCTTCATCCATCCAACCATGCATCTACCTTCTCTTCCATTGCTCACCTCTCCACTCAGTCAATCATCTATTCACTCTTCCATTGATCTGTGCACATCCAGGTATCTCTTGGACACTAATGATAGAAGGGGACATTTGTAGGTCACAGCATGTAAACAAGTTGAATTATATTAGATCTATTATGAATAACAAAGACATGGAGATGTGATAGTAGGGATGACCTACTGAAGCTCACAGTGTGAAGTAAAATTTCTCAGCAGAAGATCTGAATCCTAAATGTAAAGAAGAAACTCTGCAAAGACGGGAGGACAGGACAAGCTAGGCCCCTGAAACAACATAGCTAAAGACCCCGAGATGGGGAAGGCCTTGGCACACTAAAGAAACAAGAGCAGGCCGGCGCCGCGGCTCACTAGGCTAATCCTCCGCCTAGCGGCGCCGGCACACTGGGTTCTAGTCCCGGTCGGGGCGCCGGATTCTGTCCCGGTTGCCCCTCTTCCAGGCCAGCTCTCTGCTGTGGCCAGGGAGTGCAGTGGAGGATGGCTCAGGTGCTTGGGCCCTGCACCCCATGGGAGACCAGGAAAAGCACCTGGCTCCTGGCTCCTGCCATCGGATCAGCGCGGTGCGCCGGCTGCAGCGCGCCAGCCGCGGTGGCCATTGGAGGGTGAACCAACGGCAAAGGAAGACCTTTCTCTCTGTCTCTCTCTCTCACTGTCCACTCTGCCTGTCCACAAAAAAAAAAAAAAAAAAAAAAAAGAAACAAGAGCTGTGTGACAGGGATGGTGTGAGGGATGTGGCAGGAGATGAGGCAGAGGTATCAGGAAGCCAACACTATGCAAGGCTTAAAGCCAAAGTAGGAAATTTCAATTTTATCCTGAGCACAAGCGAAAAAGCCATGGGGAGGAATGAACAGGAAAGTGCAATGACATGTTTTAAAGTAACATTCTGATAGTTGTTTGGAGAGTTAAGTAGAGACACAAGAGGCTGGATGCTAGGAGACCAGGTCAGGGACTACAGGACAGAAATAATGGTCTATCCTGCAAAGGAGGTAGCAGCACAGTGGAGTAACTACACGGTTTCACAGTCCTGAGTGAGGACTGGGATAGGTAAACAAGTATAATCACTAGGGATCACTTTCCCCACAAGAAGGATCCAGTGGCAGAGAGAGGTTCACACTGGTAGCTGTTTGTCATCTGATTAGGGAGTGATTCTAATTATTAGGCTAGGGCCCAGGATCTAGGCAGAGCCCCAATCAATGAAGACAAGTTCAGTCCAACAGACCTGTACCATCTCTGTTGAGAAAGCCTGTAGCAAATTATGACTCTTCAGTTACCAGATATGTTGTTTTTCTCCTTATCATCACACTTACGCTTTTCTCTAAACCACACATACTCCCATCAACAAATTCTGTTGCCCATAAGTCTTTGCCAAATTTCTTTCTTCAATCATTCAAGCAACCAACCAAAACTGTCTCCTCTGTGACTCAGTTCACCTAACAGGACTATAAAGCAGTCAACCCAGTTTAGAAGAGCAAGGTGGCCTTCAGAAAGGTTAAACACTCCAAGGTCATGATCATTTTATTGCTTCACACTGCCCAGAGGTCAGTATACTTTCTTTCCACTTTTCCCAAACACTTTCTATGACAAGGGAAAATCAAGGTATTCAGTGGTGACCTGTAATGATCAGAGGACTCAAGTCTTCTCAGATCCTTGCCTGATAAAAACATTAAATATGTAACAATGTAAACTTAGATTCTTGATTCCAACTGTCCAACATTCCAAGACTTTCAGAGCCTGGGTCTAGGGCCTTCTGAGGGTGTAGAACCACACACCTTCAGAGTCAGAAGGGCCCTGGTCCAGTCCA